TGCCAGAATATACAGTGCATACAGAAGGATGCACTTGCAGACCATTAACAAAACCAAATGCTATTTTCACTTACTCTGTTCACCACAGTTCAAATGTTTTACCTTTAGTACAAATAACATTCTTGTATTTAGACGTTGTAACATCTAAGACTATTTGCCCGTGTAAACGAGATGCTACTGTTGCTACTAACACTTGTGCAAACAGTAACTACCATTATTTACACTGTATAAATAGCCACTGGCTTTAAGACATGGAACGTTTTTCAACTCTAGTGGCATGAGTGGTCACTGGTCACCATCCTACAGATGAAGTCAAAAGTTTACACACCCCTTGAAGAATCTGCAAAATGTTAATTATTTCACCACAATGAGAGGGATCATACAAAATGCATGTTATTATTTATTTAGTACTGACCTGAATAAGATATTTCACATAATTAAGACGTTTACATATAGTCTACAAGAGAAAATAATAGTTGAATTTATAAAAATGACCCCGTTCAAAAGTTTACATTCACTTGATTCTTAATACTGTGTTGTTACCTGACTGATCCACAGCTGTGTTTTTTTGTTTAGTGACAGTTGTTCATGAATCCCTTGTTTGTCCTGAACAGTTAAACTGCCTGCTGTTCTTCAGAAAAATCCTTCAGGTCCCACAAATTCTTTGGTTTTCCAGCATTTTTGTGTATTTGAACCCTTTCCAACAATGACTGTATGATTTTAAGATCTTTTCACACTGAGGACAAGTGAAGGACTCATATGCAACTATTACAGAAGGTTCAAACGCTCACTGATGTGCCAGAAGGAAACACAATTCATTAAGAGCCGAGGGGTGAAAACTTTTGAATTTGAAGATCAGGGTAAATTTAACTTATTTTGTCTTCTGGGAAACATGTAAGTACCTTTTGTAGCTTCTGGCAGGCAGTTTAACTGTTCAGGACAAACAAGAGACTCATAAACAACTGTCACTAAACAAAAAAACCCAGCTGTGGATCATTCAGGTAACAACACAGTATTAAGAATCATTTTCATAAATTCAACTATTATTTTCTCTTGTGGACTATATGTAAACATCTTTTATGTGAAATATCTTATTCAGATCAGTACTAAAGAAACAATAACATACATTTTGTTTGATCCCTCTTAAAATAATTAACATTTTGCAGATTCTGCAAGGTGTATGTAAGCTTTTGACTTCAACTGGATTCTGCAAGGTGTATGTAAACTTTTGACTTCAACTGTATATGATTTTGAATGCGTGTGTTTATCTCACTCTGGGGTGCTGCTTGTGGATTGAGCTCAGGAAAGGCCACAAGTATCCTTTCTCTCTGGGAGGCTTCTTCTAGCATCTCTTTCAGATGAGACACACTCTCCTTCAGTTCTGTGATCTGTGTCTGCTGCTGCTGTTTCTCAGTACTCAGTGAACTACAGTGGGACTGCAGAGAAAGAAATTTACTTTTATTGGTGTGGCCTAATGTAGTCAGGCTGATTCAGTCATACTAAATATTTTTGACCGAGTTCTTTTAAATGTTACCTGTTGCTGTGTGAACTGCTCCTGAAGTGCATCTTTTTCTTGTATGATCTGTGTGAGTTTGTTGGCAAGATCAGCTTTTTCATCCTCACATTCTTCCAGACTGCTATGTAGATCTTCAGTCTGATGAACCAGCACATCCAGATGCTTACGCAGAGCTGCCTGTTTCACTTGAAGCGCCTGTGCACAAAATGACCATGTTTCACAGTCGAATCAAATAAAAATCACGTCTCATCGTTTTCTCATTGAATATTCTGTTTTACTTGGAAATGCATCATGTTATGGAAATAAACACACCTCATATTGGCGTTGCACACTGTGGTTCTTGGCACTCTCTTTGTCCAGCAGTGTCTGTGTACTTCTGAGCTCCTTCTCCAGGTTTTGCCTGCTCTCCTCTACCTCTCTTAACATGTTCTCCAGTGAATGTAGACGACGAACCTCCTCCTGTAGTGTAGCCCTCTCATATTCTATACAACAAAAAAGCCATTTCTTGTTATCCCAAAAACATTCCTGTAGGCCTTTACTACATTCTCTAATTCAGGGGTTTCCAAACTGGGGTCGAGCGATCCTCAGAGGATCATAGAGGAGTGTCCTCAGAAAATTTGAGACAACCCCCCCCCCCCAAAAAAAATATTCAAGAAAAGTATTTATTAGGACTGTGTAACCTAAGCTATTAAATATGTTTAAATTAATATTTTTTAAACACATTTATAGAATGTACTGTTTTGTTCTGCTTTCTAAAGAGATCGATCACAGTTTTGCAGTACCCTATAAAATAAAGACCAAACCTGTCTATCGTTTTGTGAAAAATAAATCAATCCTTCCATTTGATATACAGTGCAGAGAAGAATGGCAGATAATTGCCAAATGATGATGATCAAAGCTTGTCGCATCAAACAAAAAAGACTTGAGACTGTAAAGGTGCTTCAGCTAAATATTTATGAATACTTATGTAATGTACTTATTTCATTTTTTTTTATTTTTAATAAATTTACGAAGTTGTGACAATTCTGTTTTTGCTTTGTCAGTATGGTGTATGGAGTGTAGATTGATGTGGAAATAAAGTAATTTAAAGCAGTTTAACATAAGGCAGCAACATAACAAAATGTGAAAAAATGAATGGGGTATGAATACTTTCGCACGGCACTGTACATAATGTTTAATAACAGTTTGTATTAGTGTTTGAGTTTCTACTTGCTCACTTGAAGTTGTAAGGCACTATTAGATGTATAAACCTGCTCTGAAATATTTATTTTAAGAAGCAATGCATTTCAATTACTTTAACTGTGGGTAGAAAACAAGGACTTTTGTCTTTGTATTAACATTCTTAACATTTTTCTCACACAGTATAAATAGCTCTTTATATATCAAATTTAAATTACTTGCAAAGTGGTCATCATATTTCAGGGTCATTGACATCAAAAATTTATTTCATATCATATATTATTTACTAATTGCTATGAGAAAGATAGGTTATTGAATTGATCATTTTATATTAACATTTATGTATTTTATACTACTGCACAAATCAAAGCTTTTAAACATTTTATTCCAGTTGCTTCCGGTGGCCAGTACTTGATGATGTCCTGCTTACCAAGACTCTGTTTTGCTTCTGTTTGCAAATTCAGTTCTGCCGTGAGTTCAGAATTTCGGTCCTCCAACAATGTTATGCCTGTGAATGAAAATGATTATTACTTTATATTGTTTAACTGTTATATAAGAATACATATGAGTTTAAAGAAACCCCCACCTCTCTTTAACTCCTCCTTCTCCTGCTTTAACCTCCTTACTGTTTCCTCTGCCCTGGATTTCACTTCCTGCATTCTGCGCTCCCACTCCTCCTCCATCTTTCTCCTCTCCTCCTTCTCTCTATTGACCGTTTCTGATAGCTGTTTTCTCAGCTTCTCTCGCTCCATCTCTGTCTCTTTCAGCTTCTTTTTCAGCGGCTCAACAGTTTCTCTCACCTCCAGTTGAAAAAGAACAGTCATGAAAAACAAATGAGTGAAATAATCAAAATAAATTGACAAAAGTGTAAACATCCAAACAAAAAAATTAATTTTCTCGTGCTTTCTGATTGGTGGACACAACCCCTCACCTCCAGGACATGTTTCCCCACACGACTCATATCTCTACGCTGCTCACTTGCCCATTGGGAAATGTCACATGCAGACAAGCGGCCCAGCTGCTGCGTTTCCTCCACAGCTTCCAGGAAGCCCTGCATGGAGCAAGGCAAACCCAGAGACTGGCACAGCAACACTAAAGCATCACTGCTCTCCTTCATAACCGCCTGAACACAAGCACAGGCCTGACAGGGCACCAGGGACGACTCTACTGTCTGACAGCCCACGGTGTGAATAGACACACAGGAGCCTGCAGTGGACGCTCTCTCATGTTGGGGAGTTGAAGCTGGGGTATTTGTGGTGGTTTTCTGGACGCTGGTCATGGAGGTGCTCTGTGTCTTGTGTGTATTAATGGTAGTAGTGTTTGCTGCTGTTCTGGTAAAGGATGGACTTTGTTGAGATGGAGGTTGCTGTCCATTACTGGTACTCTGCAAGAAGAGACCCTTTAGCAAGGATAATATTTGATAGGCGTTGACCAAGTGTTTTGTCTTTATCATCCTTCTTACCTCTTTTGCTTGTTGACAGCTGAGCTGAAGCAGGTTCCTCCAGTAGCATTTGACCACAGGACCAATGGAAACAGATGTTTCATTTTGATCAGATGACAAAGCTCTCTGCTTTTCAAGCAACAGCTCAGCATGAATGTTAAAACTCTGAAGAAGAAGCATTAATCTTTGACAAACACACAAATGAACATAATGATTTGGGGAAAATAAAACGATACATTTAACTGTTTATGCTACATTATATAATGCATTAAATATAATTATGCATTATAAGTTATTTCACATTTAAACACACACACACACACACAAAGTGACAATGATGTTAGTTCAAATATTAACGTGCAATCGATATAAACCAATAAAATACATAAATATAAAATATATTACTTATTTTGATGTTTTTATAAGTATAAATATAAATAATAATAAAAAACATACATTTGTAGTGTTTTCACGAAACAGTACAAATTAACTACCTGTCAATCAGCAACTCTTGCAGGACTATATGGGAGTGCTGACTGAACTCTTCATCTCCATCCACATAATCATACTCTTCCAAAAGACTGACCAAGTCCAGATTACATGATAGTTTATCGGGAAACTTCCATGATGGGAAACGGACTGGTCCAGTCTTAGAAAACACATCCAGAACCGCTCCCTGTAAATCAATAAGATCTCTGCGAAGACTGTCGATACAGTCCTGACGACCTAACAGATGAGTCATTGTTCAACTGAAACTACTTTTGTTCTTTAATCGTTTGAGTTTTCGGAGCAGGAACATGTGCATTAGCTCTATTTACATTAGGTTTCCATAGTTGCTTGTAGGCAGAATCGTTCCTTTTCAACTACATTTCCCACAATCCCCATTGGCCTTGCTACCGGAAGTGATTTTGTTTGTCGTCTTCTGTTGTGTGGCGGTTGGCGCAACGAGAGGTTGGTGAAGTTTTGTGAAACTGTACATAGAAATTATATTATTTCAGTAATTTTCAAGGCTTTACGTTGTCTTTTGTCCAACAAATTACGCTTTAAACGGACAATAATTCTTTATTTTTCTTAGCGTATTTGGTTCGGCCTGAGAAGAGCGTGTAGTGTCGCAGTCATGCCGCCTGGGCCTGTGCAGATCATGCAGCCGGAGCTGAATAACAAGGTATGAAGCGATCATTTGTTGATATCTGTTCTTTTAGAGACAGTACTGGATAAATTAATCTGATTTATATTCACTTACTAACATATTTGTCTTCCATGAACAAACGGACATGTTATTGGACCATAGTATTGCAGGTTTGTAGATCGTGGTTTGAGTAACGTTAGGGAAATGAATCGACCTCCCCTACCACAGCTTGAGTCTAGTCAGAACTTTCATAATAAGTAATATTTTTTTTTTCTATTACATTCCTTTTGCATAGCCCAGCTATTATTGCATTTATTAAGTAAATATATTACTGCCAAATATTATTTATTTAATAATTCTTAAATAATATTGCATTATGTATGTATATACTGAATGGACTGTTCTTGGCCAGATTACGCTATAGTAGGCTATGCACCAAAATTAATGCCAGTAGCTGAAATTTGGCTTGTGATTGTTGTGAAGCACCAGATTAATTAATATATGCCATGTTTTAATCAACAGCCCGAGGACCAGAAGGAAGAGACTCCAGCCACAAAGCCCATTGTTGGAATCATCTACCCGCCTCCCGAAGTCCGAAATATTGTTGACAAGACTGCCAGCTTCGTGGCCAGGTTTGACATTTAATGTAGTGCAAAATTTCTTTGTTGTACTTTGTTAAACTAATAATTAACTACTTGTTTTTGTTTATAGGAATGGACCTGAGTTTGAGGCCAGAATTCGACAGAATGAGATCAACAACCCAAAATTCAACTTCCTCAACCCCAATGACCCTTACCATGCCTACTACCGCCACAAAGTCAATGAGTTCAAGGAGGGCAAAGCTCAGGAACCATCTGCAGCTGTGCCTAAAGTCATGCAACAGCAACAAGCAGCATCACAGCAGCTTCCTCAGAAGGTCAGGAACCTGTCAGTGATTTACAATACACCAATAACATTATTGAAATAAAACCAGTCAAGCCATAATCTAGCAGTCTGATTTAAAAGTCTTTCAGATCTAAATCTGTTATCCAGTACTTACTACGGTGGCCGAGAAGTGCAAAACAAATCACAATTCTGAAAACAAAATAACAAATTACAAACGCAAATGCAAGTCTAAAAAACTAAATAACAATTCAGAAAGCACAACAACAATTCAGAAAACATTATAACAAGTCAGAAAACACAATGACAAATTCGAAAACAAATTTACAAGTCAGAAAACACAACGACAAATCAGACAAACTGGAAGAGGTAGGTATAGTTTGAGACAGCGCCATTGGTTTGGGATTACTCACCGCTGACTGGACGAGACATCTGTCAATCAACGTATACAGGGAAGAACCAGCCGAAGAACAGCAGAGTCCTGGTAGAAAGTTCGGAGATGGTATTAAAGTAGCTCAGTTTAAATGTATTGTATGAATTGCCCTTACTATGGAATAAAAAAATACGGAGTGTATATTTACATTTAGTTAAAATCGCCTGTAAAACATCAGCTCCAGTGGCGCAGATGGATAAACACGGGTCGTTGGCTGGCCACCGTAACTTACACATCTTTGTGTTAATTTAGGTTCAAGCACAGGTGATCCATGAGACGGTGGTGCCCAAGGAGCCTCCACCTGAGTTTGAGTTCATTGCCGACCCTCCCTCCATCTCAGCCTTTGACCTGGATGTGGTGAAGCTGACCGCACAGTTTGTCGCCCGAAATGGCCGACAGTTTCTCACACAGCTGATGCAGAAGGAGCAGAGGAACTTCCAGTTTGACTTTCTACGACCACAGCACAGCTTGTTCAACTACTTTACAAAACTGGTGGAACAATACACAAAGGTATGGTATCAATACTTAGGACAATTCAGATTGAGGTGGCTAAAGAGAGCTGGGTATTAGGGGAAACATTATTACATGTACAGGTTATTCAAGTGTGACATTAAAGTCACTTAAATTATTGGCTTCTTGCAGGTTTTAATCCCTCCAAAAGGTCTTCTGCTGAAACTGAAGAGGGAAGCCGAGAATCCACGTGAGGTCTTGGACCAGGTAATTATAACAGCCATTCCAGATCACACATAGTGGATAAGATGTCTACATAAGATATGCCTAATATGACGGTGGTGTATTATGTTGATTCAGGTGTTTTAAAACCAATAGAGAGAATTTACGGTGAATCAAAGAGTTTTAGATATATTACATGCCATATTATAAGCAAATACATTACTTCATTCCCCAATATTTTAGGTGAGGTATCGTGTGGAGTGGGCCAAGTTCCAGGAAAGAGAGAGGAAGAAGGAAGAGGAGGAGCGAGAGAAGGAGAGAGTGGCTTATGCTCAGATTGACTGGCATGACTTTGTGGTGGTGGAGACTGTGGACTTCCAACCAAATGAGCATGGTGAGCATGTGTAATTAACACAGTTTATGTAATTTTTGATATTTCAGAATGTTTATTATCACAAACATACTATTGCATCAGAAGAATACTTGTGATTTTTCATGGCAAGAAATTTCCTAAATCCCAAAGCCAACTGCTTTTGTTACAGACACAATCTCACTTTTATTGTAAGATCATGGAGAATTTTTTTGTACTATACCAATGAAAATATTATTTACTTAATATTTGTCCATATTAATCACTGTTAAGTTCATATTATTAATATTAATGAATACATATTATTAAAATTATCTAAATTAATAAAATAATTTATATAACTATTATGCAAATTACAGGTAATTTCCCTCCTCCCACAACTCCTGAGGAGCTGGGTGCTCGTATCCTGATCCAGGAGCGCTATGAGAAGTTTGGAGAGAGTGAGGAGGTGGAGATGGAGGTAGAGAGTGAAGATGAAGAGGATGAGAGAGAGCGCAGGGTGGGCGGACACGCAGCTCAGCTGGACCAGGACACACAGCTGCAGGACATGGACGAGGTGAGACAATTAGGATGATCATGCCAAAGAGACGAGGACGATTTAGTCATGCTTACTTTAAGAAGTTCCATGTTCACATATGAAAATAGATGAGCAGTTTGTAGAAATGGGTTAACTATCACTCTGACTGACTAGTATGTGTTCTTCCTCTCTCAATAGGGCTCTGATGATGAGGATGATGGCATGAAGGCTCCTCTCCCCCCTGATAACCCCCTGCCACCACCTCTGCCCCCCACCCCGGACCAGGTTATTATCCGCAAAGACTACGACCCCAAGGGTAAGGGCATTTATAAAAACACACTTTTAACATACTAGAACAAGTAGCACATATTTCATTGCATCCACTCACTTTCTATCTCATCTTTCAGCGTCTAAGCCTCTGCCTCCTGTGGCCATCCCTGATGAGTACCTCATCTCTCCCATCACTGGTGAGAAGATCCAAGCCAGTAAGATGCAGGAGCACATGCGCATCGGCCTGCTGGACCCCCGCTGGCTGGAGCAGCGTGACCGCAGCATCCGAGAGCGTCAGATCGAGGAGGAGGTGTACGCTCCCGGCCTGGATATTGAGAGCAGCCTGAAGCAGCTGGCCGAGAGACGTACCGATATCTTCGGTGTGGAAGAAACGGCCATCGGTAAGAAGATCGGAGAGGAGGAGATACAGAAACCAGAGGAGAAGGTAAGAAACACAAAGAAAAAAATATATATCCACTGTTCAACATTATTAGTAGACAAATTAATTAAAAACTATAGTGAAAAATGTGTTTTAAGAGACTTTCCAAAAGTCTGTAAGACCAAAAAAGTTGAAGAAACACCCATTAACACTTCACTTCACAGATCACTAAAACTAATTATTTAACCGTCTGGTGATCTTCAGTCATTTTAGGGGAGGGAAAAAATGTTTTTACATTTTTTTTTATTTGTTTTACTTCATTGTAATGGTATGAAACTTGGTGACTTTTGTGGCACTTGTTTTATGAACAATTAGAAAGGATGGTCTTAGTCACACTTCATAATCAAAAATGAAAAAACCTTATTTTTCAAAAATAAAAAATGATATGTGTGTGTGTTAGAGTAAAAATAAGTAAATGAAT